CTAATAATAAAAGATTAAGATAATCAATTTTTTTGGATTAAAATTGTTAGGACTTTCAAAAACTTGCTTTTATTTTTTTTCATGGCTTTCGGGTTGAATTTGAAATGGGTTGATTAACATGACTCTCATCCAAGTCATACTAATAGGGCCTCCACATTTGGATCTGAATAGATAACTACATCATTCTGCATGTCCTGATGAGAAACCCCTGTGCTTCTTTAACCTGACTAGCCCAACATTGATTTCTACTTAGGTGGTTGTCTAGTGCGCTTAGGTCTTTAGAAGGCACCACGACCCAGACGAGGTATAAGTCCTTTTATTGGGAGTGTTTCCAACTTTGTAGCTGAACCTCCTCTTTCTCCTCTTTCTAGTAGCCTCCTTGCCACTTCAGATTGTATATGTCTCCCTTCTTGGAGCACCACCTAATAGTCATATGACAAAGTTTCGTTCCTTTGACCTTAGGGTTATTGATGTTTTTACAGAAGACGCAATTCATGAATATTTAGACTTGTTTGGTCGACTACCTTCAAGACTAGGTAAACTTAGGGTCATAGTGGCTTGGGATTACGGGTCATGGTGCCCTGACCTGACTATCTCTATCTATTAGGGATTAGTCCTCCCTTTCTTTGACTACTACTTTGAGCCATGTTACTCCTCTTGCTGTCGTTGATATCATCTTGACGACCTGATTATCAATGAGTTGTCGGCTTTTTTGGTTACGATGCTTTGTCCACTGTCCTTATGGCTGTATTTGCTTTGATGTATTGGGATTCCCCGTCAAGATGATTCAATTATTTTGCAGGCTTCGTATGATGATGAGTCTGTTACCCATGTGGGACTTTGAGAGACTCACTTTTCGCCTTATAGTTTAGCAGGAGCTTTGAAAGCATCGGAGCATTCCCATGTGAAATAATCTCGTGCTGGTTGTCACTACTAATGTAAGCAAAACTCATTTGGATCCAGAGTATTCTTGGGGAACCTTTAAGACGTAATTAACCAAGTGAGTTATGTCCTCCTGAAAGCACTCTAGACCCTATGACAGACAAACACACCTGAATCTCTGGTTGTGAGTAGTTTACATAGATTCTTTCACGAATATTAGTCCAAGGTGCTTCTGTCCGATCATGTTTGGACAGACATGCTCGACCTATCATTGCAAGGTTTATCCCACGTAGGTTGTTCACGTTTTCTTTTTCTAATTTTTCGTCTTCTTCGTATGTTCGTATTTTCCAGTTCATCTCTTATCATGATCATTCACATGATTCGAAAGAGAGATTTATTCGAAAAAGGAAAATATACAACCATAGACAAACTGACAACTTCTTTAAAAATAAAAGAAGGAAATAACGAAAACAATACTAATAAAGGATCATACACCAAGTTTACAAATTTATAGTGTTGTCCCCATGGTTTTATCATACAAATTCACACAAGAAAAATAGTTTTATTTTCTTTAATATTGAAATAATGTTAAATAAAAGTGGTTTTTAAAATGTTCAATAGCTAAAGATTGTTGAAGAAATAATTTAGAATACTTTAAATAATTCTCATAAGGTATCCCAAGTCTAAGCAATAAAAAAGCAAATAAAAAAAAAAAAAAGACTGATTAAAGTAAACATAATAAAGATGTCATTCATCCAAGTAAATATGGAAGGAAAATGGTTCCATATGCAAGCAATCCCAAATCAAATTCCTTTTCTTTGATTTTGGAGAAGGCTTTTGGTTGGATTTTTTGAGCTTTGTTAAAATATCAAAGTTTTTCATGACAGTATTGAAAGTGGTCTTAATCTTAATTATTTCAATCCCTTGAAGTGATCATCCAAGCTAGTCTTTCCCCTTATTTTACCATTAATTTTTATGATGATGATGACCTGATTTTCAGATCTATTTTGTTAAAATTTTATTATTTTATAATACTTAATCTTTCAAAAAAATATTTTGAAAAATTACAAAACTATAAAACTTGATGAAAAGCCTTCATCAATGATCATGAGACCATACAGATGTCATCATTTCTAAAATTATTTTTATTTGATCAAATTTGCCTATAATTATCCTTACATCCTATGAATTCTACACTTTATTAAAATAGTAGTACTTCTAATCAAACATTTGCTATTATAAAAATAAGCTCATAATCTTATACCCTCATGGGGCAAACACCTATAAGTTTGATTTACTATCCAAAAGGTTTAATTTTATGTAAAAAATTTAGCCACACATCATTTTTAAGACCTTTTTGCTTTTAAAAGATTACTTTGATCCTTTGCTCTCAAGTCACCCTAAACTCTTCAATCAAAATTGAACGATATTGTTCTAACACGAATGTTTGTTCAGAATAACACCAACATCACACAATCAAATGAGTATATCTTTATTTGACTAAAGCATTGATTGAAACAAATACATACTTAAAGTTTGATTGAGTTTAACAAAGTTGAGACACGTTCTCAATTTTCACTTTTCTCTATAAAAATATTTGAGATTTAGTGAAGACACTAGATTTCTAAGATGATGCTAACTTCCAATAACTTTTATACCTCAATTCAAAAAAGCTCCATCAAAGTAGTGGCAACTTATCATTTGTGTTGCTTGATCGAGCTTACTTCTATGCCAATATTTAACCTGCAATTGATACTCGTGTTGAGACCAAGCATGTCAACTTACCATACAATATTACCACAATTGACCCTTTAGCCATTTAGATAATAAGCACTGAAAAGGTAAATATATAGCCTTATGGTTGAAACTTTATAACTACATGGGAGTCAAAGATGTTATCTTCCATGTTGTGAAGAGGCAAGCCAAAAATCACTATATAATCGTGGTGCATTAATTATGAATTATCAAAATGAATAAGCTTGTTGATGAATATTGACCCGATAGCTGTGAACATAGGATTAAGCAAGGAAAAAGATTTTAGACAATTTGCAGGCAATATAAGCATTGTAAATTGCCAGTAATGTTCCGGAGCTGCTCGCAAGCCCTCCTGTAAATATTGGCCAGACAATAAATTACCGAAATCTAATCTCAGTACATGAAGTTGTTCCACAAATTAAACAGGCAACCAAATCCAGCCTCGCTTCTCAGGCAGCAACAACAGCCAAGAAAAATAGGAATGATAAGATAATGCAAACTTGTTGCTACCTAAAGATTTTGTTACAACGCAGGATTAAGCAGTGTGTTAGTTTCTGCATATATGTGCCAGCAATAGGCCAACGAAAGGTGCTAGCATGTTCTCTTTCCACCAGGTTTCTCCCAACCCTACAAGCACCAAGCTTTTCTCTGATGTTACAAGGAGACCCAAATCCCTTAACCACGCATCAAGTCGATGTCGACGTGAGCGTTCCTGGCGCTTGTCCATCCGCCCATTATTGCGGCGGCGTGACTCTGGCTTGGCAGGCTACTTGATGGCGTGCTCTGCTTGTCTCCCTCGGCTTGTTCCGCGGCCTCTGCGGCTTGTTTAATCATCTTAGTCTTGCTCTTCGATTTTGCCCCACCATATAAGAAGCTGCCTACTATAACCTGCACAAATTATGCATGGAAAAACATGGAAGAGAACTGTGTTAGGAGTATTTGGCTGAGAATCTTATTTTGTGTTGGAAACAAAGAAGTGTTGGTCTGAAAGATTGTAGGCTGAGACACTGTCAGGAATACGAAGTAATGAGGCGGTACAAAGTAACCTGGACGGGACTTGCAGCTATGAGGAGGCCACCAACACCACCACCAATCACTCTTCCGTCGGGACTTGAAAGAGAGACACTTAACCCCCCACTTCGGCCACGGGATCCGCCTTCATCAGTAATCAAGTATGAACCGGATAAACATAGAATCTCAAATCGACCCTGCATTTTATTAATGGGTTAGTACAGTTGCAGGGCTTGAATTATGAAAATGACTCCTGTTTCAAACCACATATTTTAATCTATCTGGAATACAAACATTTAGAAATATAATTATAAAAAATAAAAGAATATTGGGAGGCGCTTTATTGTTTTTTTAAGCAAATGTCTACAAAATAACTCTTAATTAGTCAAGATATTAATAAAAGACTAGGAATTTTTAGCTATAAGGCTAAAACACCTTTAGAGAACACCTAGCTTCTGAGAATATTTCTACATCTCATTGCGGCACAAAGAAATTCTTGTAATTTTTTTAAGTTATACCATAAAAAATGTCTACAAAATGACTCATATTTAGTCAAGATATTAAGAAAATACTAAAATTTTTAGCTATAAGGTTAGCGCCAAACTTCTGAAAATATTTCTACATCTCATTGTGGCGCAAAGAAATTGTTGTAATTTTTTAAGTTATACCATAAAAAATGACTCGATAAATGTCTCCCTCAGCACAACCCTCAAGTTGTACCAAAACCAAAACTACTCCCTTTAAAGAAAAAATCCATCTTGCCCAGCAAGAACCTCTAAACGTATAAAAATCTAGAGAGTTGCACATGCTACAATAAATCATAAAAGCACCTCTTTACCGTACAAACGATAGCTATATCAACGATCTCCCTTTTATGAGAATCAAGACCAGTTGAAGTATGATGGTGATCAATGGCCTGAACTCAAAACAAAAGAAGAAAATAAAGTAATTTCATGGAGGAAGAATGGAATATTACGTGTGATGAAAGAGTAAAGAAATTTTTAACAACAAATCCTCAGCAAGAAAAGTTGAAAGAAGGATTGTCGCACATTTAGGGAAGTGTACAGCCAATCCAACATAAAGAATCAAATCAAACATGAACATAGGTGAACCTAAATAAGGGAAAATAAACCTGCGTCAATCATATTGATCTGATAAATAGCTAGATAGGCTAGATTGAATCAACGGATCTGTTAAATTAACTTTAGCAATAAACTATTACAGTAGAGGCTAGTACTCAACAATGTTTAAAATTGAACTGGGTAGTGAGGTGCTTTTCATTTTCGATGCCGGTTATAAGCCTTAAATTTAAAAAAAATATATAAAAATTAATAAATATGATATAAATAATAAAGTGGGAAGTAAAAAATAATATATTAATAATCTAATGCATTAACACATTAAAAAATAATATAACATTCTGAGTAGAAAAGAATAAATCAAGTAAAATTAGAAATAACATGTTATTATCCTATCATCAAATTATGAAATAAGAGGGATTCTACAAACATTAAACTATCAAAGGGCTAAAATACTAAAATAAAATACTAAAACATCAAAGCATACCAAATCAAAATCAATTCAACATTAATCTATCTCACTCAAACTACCCTCCACTTAAGCAAGAATATAACAATTCAATAGCATTTGAATTTTTAATTTTGAAGCCTCTATTACTCTCATCACCCAATTAATCTTATTAGAATCATCAACATAATAAATTGTTTATCGCATGTTGTTGCCAACTCTTTTTAAATTTTTAATGAAAAATCATCATAAAAATGTTAATTAAAATAATAACAATGTTGATGGCTAGAATTTCAACTACTTAAACTTTTATAGAATTTTTTTTCTTTTATTTTTTGTTATTTAGTATGTGAGGTGTGAGGGTTAATATATGAGGTATATTGATATTACTATTATTTTTGTTTAAAAAAAATTGGAGAGCATACAAAAATTTGAGGCATTTTTGAGGCGAGGTGTACCCTCCTTAAAACGAGCCTCCGCCTGGGTGAGGCATACGCCACACCTTCGGATAATGAAATGTAGGCCTCATTGTGATTTTTTTGTAAAAAACTTTGAGGGTGGTTATTGCTCCCCTGTTGCACGTTCTTATAACTAACTATGCAACTAAATCCCATATTTTTTAACTCGTTAAGGTTTTAGGTTTTTAAAATTTTTAACTGCATGAAATAAACCCATGATTTCCTCTATTAACAAACAAGTCTATCAGAAAAGAGAGAATTGAAAAGGGTAACATTTTCACCCAATTGTCTTCATAATATATGCATAAATGTATTATATATAGACAAGAGCGAAGAAAAATAAAATATACAATAAAAAAATATTCTCAATAATGAACAAATATAACATTAATGCACTTTATATTCCTGGTATTATTAATTATCATGTGATGATTTAGACACGCCCCTTGAAAATTTAATGTGATAAAAATATGCCAACTTGAGTTTGAAAATAATCGTGAGCAAAAATAATAAATTGAAAATAATGGGGAGCAAAAGTAAAAAATTATCGAAGGTTTTATCGCCTAAAGATCTTAAGTTTCACAAACAAAGTGTGTCTGATACAAGAAAAAGGAAGAGGGTAATGTAATTAAATGCTAAGAGTTGAGAATCAGATTCATGTTATGATCATGTTGCGCTTGCATAAGAACCAGTAAAGGAGGGACCGGACGAGAGCCAGTCAACCAACCCCCCACAACAGTAGGCGGGTCGAATGATTCAGCGAGAAGAGGTGGGGAGGGGGCAGGGAGCTGCGACTGAGAAAATTAGGAAGTAGGTGGTGTCCACGAGGGTCTTAATCACATACTCAAGGAGGAGAAAGAAGGTTATTATGAGGGGAGATAACCTAGTGTCGGGTTTTTTTTAATGCTTGCTTGGTTGCAGTTTTCTTTTTCGGGTGGTGTTCCTAGCGAAGTCTAGGGCGTCTAGGATTTGTGGAGAACTGATCTACTTCTCAAATAGTAGATCAACGTTATATTTTATTTATTTCTCATTGATATTAGTTAAACTGCCTTTATTTGAGTTTCTCCACTTTTCTATTGCAATATATTTGTTGTTGGTTCGCTGTTTTTTTTTGTTTTTTGAATCATACCAAATTGAAATCAGAGTGAGAACTTGGAGGAATGACAGCAAAGAAAGTGGATGTGTTGAAAGGGAAGTAGAGCAAATTTGATTGCGAGTTAAAAAATGGTTCACCTACATAGAAGATAGCTTTTCTTCCATAGAAAACCGAATGGAGAGCAGATTCAAAAGCATAGGAAAAATGTGAGAGAAGATGAAGAGTCTCATGGAGATGCAGACTAAGACCCAGTTGACCGCTTCGATGACAAATACTAACCAAGGGTTGAGCAAGAAATTCGTGGCCAGATCAACGTGGAAAGAGATGAACGAGAAAATATTAGGTAGGACATTATCTACCACAAAGAGCATCCCCCTAGGACTCTGAGGGGAGGAGTGGAGACTACAGGTGAAGTGGGGTGAACCGATTGGAAAGGGGGTGATGCAAAAGGCCCAGAAGAGCACGAAGAATGGAGAGAATCGAAAGTGGGTCATGGCAATGATCGCAGGAGTGAGTTTCACACTAGACACATGAGAAAGAAGAAGTTGGGGTGGTGATACGAGGGTTTGAAAATTGAAGATGTCGATTTTCAAAGGTGAAGATGCACAATAATAGTTGTATCGGGTGGAGCGATGCTTTGGAGTAAATAGGGTAATGGGAGAGGTGAAGCTCATGACGACAGGATTAAGGCCCTGACATGATTTCAGTGGATGGAGGCGAGGTTCTTGATACATTTGCCGGAAGAGTTTAAAGACTGCTTATTGGAAAGGATACCTCCATGAGCAATTCTATGTGCTCACTCAAAAGGAGACGTCATGAAATACGGAGAGAGGCTCAAGCTCTTATTGGAGCGACTGAGAGGTATTTTTGCAGCTGGATTAGAGGGGAACTTCTTGAAAGGCCTCAAACTCGACATTCAAGCAACCGTCAAACCATTGAAACCGTATGGATTAAAGAAAATGATAGAGGTCGCTCAAATGATGAAAGATAAGAAATTAGCAAAAAAGACAAATAAGGGCGGCAACATGGGAGGATTTTACAAGAGTTTCACGACGATCACCGCACCGAGGACCCAGGCGGTGTCATTTCAGAAAGAGGCAGGCACCAAAAGACAAGAATATGTGGCACCATCCAGGGGCATTTTCAAGCGCCTCGCCGACACGGAATTGCAGGATAAAAGAGCGAAAGGATTGTGTTTCAGATGTGACGAGAAGTATTGCTTAGGCTACTGTTGCAAGGAGAGCGCACTTCGGGTCTTTGTAGTTCATGAGAGAGAGGAGACAAAGGAAGACATGGTGGAGGAAGAGAAGCATGTGCACTTGGATGTAGCAGAACTGTTCCTAAATTTAGTGGTGGGATTTACTCCAAATCACACCATGAAGGTGAGGGGGAGGATCGGGGAACAACCAGTCGTAGTGTTGGTGGATAGAGGAGCCACATATAACTTCATCTCAAATAAGATAGTAGATCAGTTAGGGTTGGAGCTGACAGATATGGGGAGCTTTGGTGCTATGATGGGTAGGGAATGTGGAGAAAATTCGGGGAATTTGCAAGATATTGGTTCTAGCACTACAAGGCCTACAGGTGGTGGACTTCCTTCCCTTGGATTTGGGCGGCACAAATGTGATTTTGGGGATGAAGTGACCGTTGGGGAGATAAAAGTGAACTAATGATAGAGCTTCAGGAGAAGGGTAGGAATGTGTTGTTGAGAGGAAATGGTAGCTTATGTAGGAACATGGTCTCACTTAAAATCATGGTCAAGACGATACGGAGAGCAGGAGTAGGCTATTTGGTTGAGTTACAGAGCATCGAGGCGTTCCAAGACAACGATTCAATAGAGTTTCCTGATGAGGTTCAACAGCTTTTGCAGCTGTTTACTGATATTTTTCAGCAGTTGAGCGGGTTACCATCACCGAGGGAGCACGAGCAAGATATCACATAAAGGAAGGTTGTCCCCCAATCAGTGTCAGACCCTACTGGCATCCTCAGATTCAAAAGAATGAGATAGAGAAGTTGATCTGAGAGGTGCTCGAGGCAGGGATTATCAGACCCGATGTTAGCCTATTTTCCAGTCAAGTCTTGTTGGTGAGGAAGAAAAATGGAAGCTAGCGATTTTGCGTGGATTATCGGGCATTGAATAAGGAAATTGTCTTCGACAAATTTTCTATCCCAGTGATTGATGAGCTACTAGATGAGCTTTACGAGGCGGTCCTTTTCTCGAAGATCGATATGAATTTAAGATATTACCAGATTAGGATGCGCCCAAGTGAGCACAAGACAACGTTCGGGACACATGAGGGACAATATAAATTCTAGGTGATGTCTTTTGGCCTCACGAACACACCGATCACATTCTAGTCTCTAATGAATCGGCTCTTTCAACCTTACTCAGAAAGTTCGTTCAGGTCTTCTTCGATGACATTCTAATCTACAGTCGGACAGAGGAGCAGCATGTGAAGCACCTGAGGACAATAGTGGAGACGTTAAGGGAGCACCAGTTGTATGCCAACTTGAAGAAATGTTCATTTGTATAGTTACAGGTAGAGTACCAAGGACATGTGGTAACCAAAACGGGGGTAACAGTAGATCAATCCAAGACCAAGGCTATGATGGATTGGCCCTTACCAACTATTACCGGAAGTTCATGAGAAGATATAGCACAATAGCATGACCACTGACGGAACAATTGAAGAAAAACAATTTCAAATTGGAGGAAGAAGTAACACATGCATTTGAACAACTGAAGAGAGCCATGACAGCGTACCGATATTAGTACTTCCAGATTTCAGTAAACTATTTGTGGTGGAAATAGATGTGTCAGGGTACGGGTTGGAA